GGGGGGGGTAAGGAGGCTTGCAAACTATGCCACTTGCTAACTAGAATGACTTAGAAGATAGGCATGATGACTATCGAACGAGAAAGCCAATAAGCAGTCAGGGAGGGATTGAGGAATTTTGCCCCTCAGGGAGGTCGTAGCCATCACTGTAAGCAAAGTCTACCAGAGTGGTAACTTCGCATTGACCGCTCCTATCACTAAGCGGTTGTCCGCGTTTACGTGTGGGCCGACGCCTCGCTCACGGGATTTACTAATGACGTATTGCTCGAGCCATTTTAGGGTTCAGTAATGTCCCAGGCCGACACCATGAGCACTTTCTCGAAGATGGATGACCGATTTAGCGCTCATGCCATGTACGACTGGATAAGGATTTCTACTCTGCATTATGGCTGCTCCACGAATTGGCTCTGGATTTGTATTGTTCCGAATAAGACAGAAATACGAAATACGACGTAGGGGGAATTCGCCTTTCAGGTACTTTTTCCAGAAGCTGGCCTCTATTTGCATGCTTATTGAGATCCGCGACTCCGTTGCTTTTTTCAGCACACTGCATGTAGGCTACAAAACTCGTCACAAGCTGCCGAGCGTGACAGGCGTGAACCTGGAAGACACACGGGAGCTGCCGGGTAGGGTTGACAATCTCTTGAATTGGCTCCATCTGCTAGTCGATTGCCCTAATGGCTATGATAACTGTCTTATTGCCCTCTTCCCCGCACCATTATGGGAGCTTGCTCTGCTTACTGGAATCCTAGGCCTTAGGCGCCAGGCAAATGGCTTTGTTCCGCGGTAGGTAAATGTGCTGCGTTGGATTTGTTGCTGCTAATTGACTGTCATTTAGTTTTATGCTGTTCATTCCTCAGACCTCAAAGGTGTGCGACTTTGATTCGAAATAATGCTAATGGGGCATGCGCAGACGGCATCCATAACTTAACCAGAAAGCAGCACATTCGGGGCAATGGCAAAAGTAAAATATTCTGTCTGTCGTAAGCATAGAAGACCACCACATGCTCGGGCAACGATGACGACTTTTGCCCCATTGACCCTCCTGTCCATTCGCGCCCTGTTGTGTTCTGTGGGCGTAGTAGACCGTGCCAAAATGAGACGAGTTACAGTGGTGGGCCACGTATTCCCCCCACCCTCTCGTGTTCGAAATGTGTTTGTAAATCAACCGGCACGAGCTAGACATCGCTCAGGCGCTTGCCCACTAACACCTGGCCTCTTTGTGAGTTTTTCAAGCGCAGAAGCCGCTTTGACTGTTCAGGCATACAGTCGTCTGGGAAGAGGGAGTTGAGATTGATGAAGTTTCGGATCCTCACTTGAACTGACCATAGACAGCACAGATAAGGGTGACAGACGCACAGGGGGAGGAGTACAACCATGCAAACCCATTGAGTACCGTAAATAGCAGCTCTCGCAGTCCTGTGTAGAACATTCTTGTTCCAGCGATCGTGCCTCACCTGCGTCTTGTGTTGACACGGCAGCGTGTTGGGCGTACAGGACTAAGTCTGGAATTCAATGCGGCAGGTTGATTGGTGGTGCGTTCTCGTTTAGTGAGGCCAATCCGAGTCTTTGGAGTGAAGCCAAGTGGGCTTTTTTAAAGAATAACAAAAAAACCTGTGAGAGGCGAACATGATGCACACAATTCTTCCGATCCCTTTTGGGATCAGACCATTTGATTCATATCGTTGCTCCCATCTGTTTTTGGGTCGTCGACAGAAGACGTTCTGCTAATGAAACGTATAGACTCCTTTCTTCCGTATTTTCTATTTAACCCTAGATAACTGAAGTGCACTTCTCCCGTTCATTGCCCTTGACGATGGGATTTCGCATTCGTCGACTTCGCATGAATGTACTGAATAAGCAGCAAAGGCCGATGATTGTCTGTCGTCTACGCCGCGTGAATCCGTTAGAAGTGTAGGCGAATCCCATAACAGTGCCAATGTGGTGGCACACCCCCTATGGACATGCGTACTGATCAGAATTGTTGTCATACTCAGGTCTCCGCGCTTCTACTATCCTACTTATCACTGACTGCGTGCTTCCAACGCGTGATTTGTTGTTGTCAAGGTCACGCGTAGACGGGCTGTCAGACACTTGTACCCAACCCATCCACCAGATGACTGACCGACTCGGACGGTAAACCAGTCCCTGGGAGGGGGAGGAGAGAATGAGGTCGATTGTGGGGGACGGCGTCCCCACAACACTTACGCACATTTCTCACTACCAACAGTCCGACGCGCTATTAAAAACTATCACGATGCGCCTAAAAGCCGTGGCTTGGACGGTTGCCAGCTGACAAGATAACTCGGTCCTCATCCCAGGACGGACCATTGGGCTGCAATGGTTCTTTTTTAAGGTAGCCTTTATGGACCATCCACTCAGTTGGGGTCCGAGCTGCCCACTTCCTTATTTCTGTGAAAATCTGGTCCATCCTGCGCAGACCAGGCGTGCGTAGCACACTCAGTCAAGTCGCTTGGCTTAGCCAGCCAGTGCGCCCGATTCCGTCCCCGATCTTCTTCATTCCGTCTTAACACCGGGATCAGGTGGGGTAGGAGGAGGAGAGAGTGCGGTAGACGCAGCACAAATTTCCTATAACTAACCTAATTCATGCGCAAGTTATCGTCCATGTGCCCAATCTGCTGGGGGCCAAACGGCGGACATCGTCGGAATAGACGGTAGAACTGTGTGGAATCTCTGAACAGAGAAGCGAGAGTCTAGCTCCATGGGTCCTTCGTAGTCCGACTTTTATTTCCCACACACTGGCGTGAGTTGTGAGCCACCCTCGTGTCGCGGGGATCAGGTCTCGTGTTGGGCGCGTAAACGGACTGTTTTGCTTTATCATCCACTGTGTCCGAGCCCATCTCCGGCCTTCCGGACGCTGTCTTGCCATCGGGGCCAGGTGCGCGAGGAGGCGAACGGTCGATTCAGCGAGTACCGCCTCCCTGTAAATCAATTCACCCTTAAGCCACGGATCTGCGCCCGCTCCCTGGGGCTCGTGGTGGATTACATCGCCTTCGACACTCGAATTGTCGCGTTACGAAAAAGTGTTCAAATCCTTCTTAAAATCCCTATTAGTATTTTCTGGGTCACACCGCCAAGAAAACTACGACTGAAAAATTAGACTCCCTCTTACACTGAGCCTGAATTGGAGTCCTTCATCTTATCTTAAAGCGTCACACCCACAGACTCCTTTTGCAAACCTCAATTCTAGGCAATAATTCGATGGCAGAAAACGAAAACGTTGGAGTTCAGGGCTACTGGTCCTCACTGAACACTTAACTTCGGTGGCCTATTCTCTTTTCACAAACAGGATAAACTTATCATGCTTCCAAATATAAAAGACCATCTTGGGCGAAAACCCGTCGATATGACCTACAGGGAAGGTCGATCATGCCGAGTTTGTTCATCAACTGCATACAAATAGACCGAAGTATTTAAGCCAAAGCCAGTCAGCCAGAGGCGAGCCGGAATCCGACTTTGAGCTGCCAGTAAGTCGAGCTAAGCTATTTTTGCTAATACAGAAAGGAATGCGCAACGGATGCGGTTTGCTTTCTTCTGTTGGCCTTTACTACAAGAACTGTCCAGCTGTCAAGAACGCTGTAAAACTGTAACGTTAACTGAGAGTGAGCATCATCATCATCATCATCATCATCATCATCATCATCATCATCATCATCATCATCATCATCATCATCATCATCATCATCATCATCATCGCTATTATTACCAGGGTCGTCTTTCTCATCACAATTTCGCGTATACCGAATAAGCCAACTGATGTTTCGAAGGCAGTATGACGGTCATCCGTCGGATATGATGGAGGTCATGCAA